GTGTGTGTGTGTGTGTGTGTGTGTGTGTGTGTGTGTGTGTGTGTGTGTGTGTGTGTGTGTGTGTGATATTGAGGTCCAGTGCACCTGAAGCATAGAATCCAACAATTATTGGATCCAGTCTTCAGTCTAATGCTCCCTGCTTCCACTACACCGGATCAGGAAGAGTATACCTACTGCCAGGGTGTGTGTGTGTGTGTGTGTGTGTGTGTGTGTGTGTCTCTGTTTTGAGGGGAAATGACAGATGGGGGATACAGATCGCTAATCACAGCATGACCGTGTGATGCTGCAGGAGGTGACAGCAGTGAAGGATAAGTGTGGTCGTGGGTGGACAGACGAAGGGATGAGTGGTCATTAGTATGTGTGTCAGTGTCCATCCAGGACCAACCATGGCACAGGAAGCTGAATTGTGAATACCCCGTTAGAGCGGTGAGGTGGAACAAGTGTGTCTTTGGTTGAATATTTAATGGATCCCTCCACTACATGTAGCCCATTTAAAAACCTATTTTCATGTTACTGACAGTTTTCAACATTCTGTTCATTATTTTCAAGTAAAATTAGCTATTTAGCTAAAAATAAAATAAAATACACACTGAGGATAACAAATGTTATTACAGTCACAGGAATAACAATAGACTTAAAATTGTTGAGTGGACCGGTGCTTATATGGAGCCTTTCTATGACTACAGGTGTCAGTGCACCCATATATATTTTATCTGCTTTCATTTGCATCAGAGCAGATGAGATGGATTCACGACACATATATAGCACAAAAGAGCTGCTGGGCTGATGAACTTCTGTGGCCTTTTCCACCTTTCCTCATGTAGCAGTCCACCTCCTGGTATCTCGTCCACACATTTGAGACTGTGCTGACCCAGCAAACCTTCTTATGACAGCACATATAGATGAGCCGTCCTGGAGGAGCTGGATTACCCGTTCAAGCTGAGTGGGCTGCAGATACCGTCTCGCTTTACCAGCAGTGACGAGGACACAAACAAAAAGCAAAAATAGAGAGAATCAGTCAGGAGGGATGAGCCCAGTGGTGTGTAGCCATCGCCTGTCAAGCCATTCGCTTTTTGGGGTTTTCTTGTTGTTGCCTCTCCAGTGCACCTGTTATCATCAAAGCAGATGAAATGGATTCATAATGGTTTATGCTTCAGAACAACAACATTTAGATTACCCAAAAGATTCTTGGAGATTATTTAGTCATCAAAAATATCCATTATAATACAATACATGTACAATCTACTATAAATAGCAGTGGTTGCTTTATTTCATATACTTTTTACTAACGTATTTGTAACAGATTTGAAAAGACTGAGAGAAACATGTTTTGTTTTTTGGTTTCTCTTTTGTTTTGGGTGTCTGCCACCTTTTACCAGATTTACACAGCTGTTCGTGACTCACCGCATACTTATTGGTTGGAAGACCTTTTTTGAAATCTCCTATAAAACATTCAGCCTGAATGGCCTCTGTAGACCTTCTAACCCTGAGACCATACTCTCCACTGAACCACGGAGTCGTCCCTGCTGCTGTGACTGCCTGTAAACTGTTAAATCAATTCCATCTCCCTCAGAGGGATTTGTCCACTTTGTCCCGCTGCCTCTCGCAGTGAGATTTACATCGAGGAGGCCTGCAGCTCTTTTCATTCAGCACATGTCCAGACTATTGTCTTAGACTTATGTCTTGCTTTTTTACCGCCTTAAACTTAATTTCCTGGAAAAGATGTGGCTCTGCTTTCTTCTCCTACTGCTTAGTTTTCTCCACGGGCCTGACCTGGGACGGTAAGCGGTGCTCCCCAAAGGCCCCAGCAGCAAGAATCAAAACGCGGCGAGGCTTAGCGAGGCCTTTGTTGCACTAATTAGCATAGTAATGATTAAAAAGGATTAGTCGCCCATTTTATTGGGATGCAAATGTGTGCACTTGTACACGAGGCTGTGCGTTCTGAGCATGTGCAGCTCATGTTGGAGGTTGTTTAATAAAAGGATCAGCGTGTGCACTGTAGAGATTCACAAAGAGCTGCTTTCTGCAGCTTATATGTGTGAGTTTTGTATGAATGCCTGAATGAGCCTGGATAGCAGCACTTCACAGGAAAATTTTAGATTTCTTTCTTTAGATTAAGTGTATGTATTATTTTATATAAATACAGTGGAAAAACACATTCATGTTACATTGAATCTACTATGAAAGAAATAAGGGTAAACTAGATTTTAGTATTTAGTGACTTTAGTGACTTTCTCATTCAGCAACTTAACTCTAACCCTTACCACCCAGATTCAGGCTCTGGCTCTAAAGTATAAAATGTGACAGCTGATGTAGACTTCTCTGGTGAGTCTTTGGATAGCCCATAAAGTAATCTACAAAAGTTGACGACACCATAACCAACATTCGTGCTTTGGCATGGTGATCTATGTGTTAATTACCACTTAGTTGTGTTCCGGTATTGTATATGCGCTGCAGACGATGATAGAAACAAATGAAATGCTGCGACTTTTTCCCTCCAGCATCGCCACTTTTTGTTCTTTGTTCTTTTTTTTGCTTTTGTTTTTGTGTCGAAGGCAAACATATTTGTCCATCCAGTTATTCCACTTCTCTGTGCATTTCCTCACAACCAGTTTTGCTCTAGGAGTCTGATGACATATGCAAGTCCTTATATTCAGGCGATTACTTTTATTCTCTTGCTGATGAATTCAAAAATTGTTCCAAAACAGTAGCCAGAAATGGATATAAGGAAGTCGACAGTACTGAGGATAGTTGCAGGCTGTACTGACGCAACATGTAGTTACATTTCTAGGGATGTGCACATAAAGTTATGGCGTAAGGTTTCAGAGGGGTCCACAGTTGTACCTCCCTCCTGTTTGGTCAGGTTTATCCCTTAGGTTATGGTTGTTAATGCTCACCAGTGTTATAAAATGAGAGGATAAGGTTGGGATGTGTTCAGAAGTTGCTCTTTCTGCCATGTAGCACCCAGCAGGAGACTTAACTTTAGGCACTTGCACTTCTTCTTCTTTCAGCTGCTCCCTTATTAGCAATGGTTCCAACAACAGTCCACATCTTTCTATTTTCATAGATATGCATATTTTATGTGTTCTATTAATATATAAATGTATTACTTAAAATACTCTCATTTAGGCAAGAGTGCCACCTGGGAAGAGAGTGCAAGAGGCAGCATGTCCACAAGCATGCTGTTAATGAGCCCATTTTTCTGTTATTTTTAGATGAGTAAATGTACTTGTTGGTACTCTTATTTTGCTATGAATATTTTTTACATATCACATAAATATTAATCTGGTTCCAATCTGCTTCGATACTTAAAATTTTGTCTCTGGGGCTTTTCCAGCCTGAAAACTGAATTCCTGGAGAGACACCAGTGGTTTGTGTGCTTGTCTTTGTATTGCATGTGCACGTGTTCGGCATGTAATGGATGTTTCCCTGTTAATTAACCTGCTCATAAGTGACATCCACGTCACCCTGACAAGTTTACATTTCCCCCAAAAAAATCTCATTAGTGCCTCACTGCTGAGGATCCAACACTGTCACTCAGCCAACACACACACACCATATCAACAGGCAGTGTGTACTCCTGTACCCCCGTAGCACCGTGATATTTCCCCACCGTCACAGTCGCCTGAGACCGCGTCCCATATCTCATTTTCCTCCCTCCCTAATCGGATTAACCCCTGGCGGCCCTCGCTGGGCCCAGTTTCTCTATCAATGGACGACAGCTTGGTTCCTGGAGCAGGCAGCTGCACTAAGTGCCCGTAAGATCGGTCTTTTCATGGAGAGATGTAGCTGAAATCACTCGCTGCAGTAATCTGCAGTCTCTAGTAGCAGGAACAAAGGGAGAGGAGGATCTGGGTTTGATTTATGTTGGCCGCTTTGTTTGGCTCTGTTGTTCTTCTGTGAGCGACTGTCTGTTAAATGGTAATGCTATAGAAAAAGAAACGGCCTGCCTCTTTTTAATTCTGTTCACTTGTAAATCTTTTATTCATAAAGTGTGGGTAAATACAGCGTAACTAATGGACAAACTATGTTAAGCTGCTGGGACTTGAACATTCTGTGGCTATTAGAGATGGGGCATTTTAATGTGACTTTTGCAAATGTACACCTTCATATTCTCACAAATATGCATTTTTCCCTCTGAATATTAGCACTTCCTTGAACTATTTTACCCCAAAATTGTTTTGGTGTTGCACACTGTAAATATGACATGTTTAAACTCTGCTGTGTATTATGCAAACATGTCATGAGATGTTCTTTAACTCTTAAAGGTCAACGTGAACATGATTTTACCTGAAAAGTACATCAAAATTAGAAGAGAAAGAAATGAGGAGCAGTTACATTATTGATTTTTCCCTTACTTCCCCTCAGTAACAATAATAAAATAATACTTTTTTTGTCTCTTTATCCTATCTATCAGGTCTTCCTTCGGGAGTCTCTGGAGCATCGCCTGGAGAAGCAGAGGGAGGTGGAGGTGCTGAAAGCAGCCATGATCATTCAGGCCTATGTCACAGGCTACATGGCCAGGTACAAACAATGAATAAAAACATCATAAACCTCAATAGGATCAGTTTTAATCTTCATTGAAACCAAAATGCTCAATAGCCCGGTCCTTGTCCTCCAAACAGGAAGCAGTACAAGAAGCTGCTGCGGTGTATTGTGGTCATCCAGAAGAACTACCGGGCTTTCTACTGGAGGAGGAAGTTCTTGCTCCTCCGCTGGGCAGCGCTCACCTTCCAGAAGTGTCTGCGAGGGCAGCTGGCTCGTCAGACCTGCAGCCGGATGCTGGAGGAGAGGAGGAAGAAGGAGGAGGAGGAGCGCCGCAGGTGGATGGAGGAGATGGAGAGGTGGGCTACTCAGTTTATTCACCGTGTGGTACTATAGCTACAGCCAAATGAAAAGTTATTGTGCAAAAAGAAAGTAGGTTTTTGCAAATGACTGTTTTTTTTGTTTGTTTTTTTAAATGAAAAGAAAAGAAATGAGAGAGAAATCTGGACTGGAAAATGTGTTTGAAAAACGTGTGCCCACTGTCTTCTTCTGGCACTGGTTTATTTCAGTCACTTAGTGAGGAATTAACACAAGTCCATCATCTGGGCTGTATTCAGGACTTTCAAATATGATCATGAGTAGTTAAGGAGTACAAATCCCCTGCTTCCATTATTTCAAATGACATAAAAATACTACACGTATATAATAAAAATGTTCCTAATGCCAGTGTATAATACTGGAGGAGAAACAGAGCATAGCTTTAGTTCTGGCAGGCAACTATTTCATTCTCAGCTGCAGTCATCAGATGAGTGGATCTCATCAGCAGCTAATTTACAAAGCTTATGTAGGACATGCTATTTAAGTAGCTTAGCTTGGCTACAGCTGCTGTGCATCTGCAAGCTGCTTTGCAACCACCTGAGCTCCTCTTTTAGAGACTACCTCACTGAATGAATCTCACATTTGTTTTCACTGATGCTGGCTTTTTTCTGCAATGGGGGGTCATGCTGCTGCTCCCCATCTTATGCTCACTACATATGCATGTGTAAGGACAACAATGTAAATTGCCACAGATGTACGCAGTGCTCTTATGACGGTAGTCATTCTGACGATTCATGGACGGGAGATGTCATCAGGCTTAAAAAACAGCATGTAATTTGTCTGTAAGAATAGAATGTAAATCCCTCGAATCCCACAATCAAGACTGAGTCATGACCTCCATATCCTCAGTGGTGCCTTTGACCTTGAAGGGGCCACAGCTCAGTTTATACTGCAGATTGATTGCTTTATAATCACTGCTGCTGTCACAATTTAGTAGTGAACCATTGAGTTTGTATAAACATCCTTATTGGACTACATCTGTAGCTTGCATTATGTTTTCCAAAGAAGGTTTCACAGTGTGGTGCAACATTTGTATTTTTGTTGTTTCGATAGATGGTGAACTGCATACTAAATGGGTTTCTGGTATTTTAATCTCACAGTGAGACAGGAAATGCAGTTACTCTGGTTTTGGTACATCGTATCTCCTACTGTGTGTTCGTTCAGCTGATGTCTGTGTGTTTGTGCCCTGCAGGGAGAGACAGAGGCTGGAGGCCGAGAGACTCACCAGAGAGGTATGATAAAACTGATTTAAGTGGAAAACGGTGTATAACTTTTATTGGCCGACTGTCTCCTGAGCAGCCCACTCTCTACAGCCATATCTGATTGGTAAAGAACACAGAGAACACAATTATGTTTTCTATTATGTTACACAGGCTTCAGTTTATTGTACTGGGCAGTGAAAAACACACTGCCCAGTACAATAAACAGCTTGTATCCTCTCAGGTATTTGTCGTGTATAATTTGCTTATAATAGTTGGCCCTCTCTCAGTAAACTAAGATTACTTCAGTGTTTGTTTTCTGTAAATCAACTTGTTTTGGGTATTTTGTATAAATTAATGTTGATATCTTGGGGGGAAAAAGTTATGACTGCAGTCTCATGTTTGTGGTTTCAGGCTGAGGAAGCCAGAACACTGGAGGAGCTGCGTCGTGCTGAGGAGCTGGCCTCGCTGGTTTTGACAGAGTCTCAAAATGCAGCAGCAGCTGCAGCATCACCAGATGCCCTGGAGGAGCTGGAGTCAGCAGAAACCTTTGTGGAGGCATCAGCAGAGGAAGAGGAGGCAATACGTCCGCACGAGGCATCACAAGTGGAGGAAATTCTTCGACTAGAGCGGGAGATCCAGGTGCTGCAGAGACAGAAGGAGCGCCAGGAGCTCTCTTTGACTGAAGCCTCGCTGAACCGCCTGCAGCAGCTTCGCGATCAGGAACTCCGGCGGCTGGAGGATGAAGCCTGTAAGGCAGCGCAGCAGTTCCTGGACTCCCTGAACTTTGATGAGATTGACGAGTGTGTGAGGAACATTGAGAGCTCCTTGGGCGTGGGTGAAGAAGATGAGAAGAAGGAGGATGACCAGAGGAGGGGTAACGAGGAAGAAGAGGTTGATGAAGGGTTCGGTGCTGATGATGATGCCTTCAAAGACTCACCAAACCCAAGCGAGCACGGCCACTCGGACGGCCAGCGGACGAGCGGTATCCGAACGAGCGATGACTCGTCCGAAGAAGACCCGTACGCCAACGATGCTGTGATTCCGTCACTGCCACCGACCACTGTGCTTCACCACTCTTTGCCAGCGATGCCTTCGGCCTGCCATAGCGCATCATCCAGCGGGGATTCGGCTTACTGCCACCCCCAGGCTTCATCTGAGGCTCAATCTGATGAGCTGGTAGAGCTGATACCTCCAGATGAGGATTCAGACTACGATCAGGATGACTACGATGAAGGTGCCATCGTGTCTAGTGGCAGCATGGCTTTCTCCAACCCTCGCAGTGGACAGTGGTCTCCGGATTACCGCGGATCTGTTGGCACCTACAACAGCTCAGGGGCTTACCGCTTTAGCTCAGAGGGGGCTCAGTCCTCGGTAAGCTGAATCCTCGTTTAACTTCTGTTTTCAATGACAGGGAGAACATTTCATGCCCGATTTTCTACTCAAACTTAGCTGCTCTAACTCCAAAGTAGTGTAGTCTTTGAAGTTAGCAAAAAAAACACAGGCTTCAAAAAAGCATCCAGTGAGAGAGATCAATTAAATGGCATGACTTTAGCCATTTTACAACTCACAGGTGCAAAGAGCACCACATTGTACCTTCTCTGTTATTTGTTGAAATAATATGCAAACGAAGGTCTTGCATGTCTTGTTTAATTTCAAATTTTTGTTGATTTGCTCCAGTTTGAGGACAGCGAGGACGACTTTGAGAGGTTCGACACAGACGACGAGTTGTCTTATCGCCGGGACTCTGTCTACAGCTGTGTCACGCTGCCGTACTTCCACAGCTTCCTCTACATCAAAGGTTATTATTTTCTTATAGAACATACTCTTCTTTTAATAAAACCCAACAGGTGAGAGTTAAGTGCATCATCTATATGGCTTTAGGACGTATTTTGGTGAAAAAGCATTGTACTTTCTGTGTTACCTTCTGATTTGATTTTTTGATTTGATTTGATTTTATTGATTAGCATTCAAATATCTCAGTGAAGACAAAGAGACAAAGAGCAAGATTCTCCCCTCCAGGTGACGTAATGATGGTGGAGCATTTGAAATCTCATATCTTTCTTCTCTAGGTGGTCTGATGAACACGTGGAAGCGGCGTTGGTGTGTTCTGAAGGACGAGACTTTCCTGTGGTTCAGAACTAAGCAGGAGGCTCTGAAGCAAGGCTGGCTGCACAAGAAGGGCGGGGGCTCGTCCACGCTCTCCCGACGCAACTGGAAGCGGCGCTGGTTCGTGCTGCGTCAGAGCAAACTCATGTACTTTGAGAACGACGGAGAGGAGAAGATGAAGGGGGTGCTGGACATGCACAACGCCAAGTAAGGACAAGAGAACATAACTTTGAGGGTTGTTGTTTTTGCATGACGATACTTTCATTTACAGTAACAACAGAAAAGCTGTCAGTTAATCATTTACATGTAAAATATTCAAGAGATATATGGTTGTGTTATTGAAGAGAGATAAAAACTCAGACCTCTGAAGGATTCATGGTGAAATGGTTATGGAAGGATGTTTGTATATTCAGGGAACCTCAGTCATTATTTTTCCTTTTTTTGACCTGTAGAGAAATCATTGATAACACCGGTAAGGAGAATGGAATCGACATAGTGATGCCAGAGAGAACTTATCATCTGATTGCCGAGTCTGCTGAGGATGCAAGGTGAGCTGTGTGTTTGTCTTTGATGTATTGTTCTTATCTTTTCACAATAACCAAATAAATGAATTGTGATTTGATCTGTAAAGGACCTTTCATGCAAGCATGGAGTCAAAATGACTGAAATAACAAGTAAAAACTAGAATTCAGTAGTAAGTTAGTTTCAGTGACACCACTAACTTCGCTTACCTGGTCTATTTAATTACTCTGTCAGAATTAATTACATGGTCTTGTCCATTAATAGAAATATGCATTATATGAGTAGAAATATCTCAGAGTCATTTTTCAGAATAAAAGTGCAATGATTCAATATGTCTTCAACTATTTAAAGGTTTAGTTTCTTTTGAGGAGTATCTTTAGCAACCTCTAACAGCTAACGGTAGCTATGTGTTAATAACCTACTCAAGTCTTGGTCTTATAGGTTTAGAGAATAGCTTGTGACCCGCTGATAACCAAGAGTCGTGCGGTATTCTACAGCTGGCTAATGAGTGGTTGCTGAAGGTTGTTGGTAGCTGCTAGCATTAAATAGTAGCAAAGAGGGATACGGTGTGATACCAAAAACCTCCTCACGATTGCTTTGGTCAATGGCAGGTTGTCACGGTCCCCCGTAGTTTGCATAGAAGATGCCGAGTTGCCTGTACACACTTGCAAACTTTTCACCAAGAGGTAGTGAAACTGAAAAATGCTAGGCTTACTGGATGTGGAAAACATTTGCCTTACATGTTGATTGCAGCAGTAAGTCAAACGTTGGAGGAAAGCCTCTTTATCTGGTTTACTTCACACTTTTTGAAAAGTGTTTGCAAGCTGGTTTCTTCCATACAAAGCATTGATGGCTGCATCATTTTGGTAGAAACCAAGTCACAGCAACACTCGCTTTGTGACCGATTCCACCCTGCAGCCGCCAAAAACCATGACCAGCTTTTCATGGAAACCTCAGCTCTCTAGTGTTATTCATCATTTCTAGTACCTGCCAGCAAGTACAATTGACAAGAAGGCATCTTTACACATTACAGGGTAAATGGAGAGCCATGCACCGTTTCTCTCTGGTGGGCAGGATTTAAATGTGCTCTATAATCTTTTTCGTATAATGACAGTAGTGATTATTAGTCACATCGTTATTACACTCCTAATGCTCCCAGTCCTCCCACTTGTTTCTTCTCTCCTGATCCTATTATTTCCTCAACTGGCATGAACCTGCTCACAGTCTGTCGAAAACTGTATAACAAACAGGAGGTATTGTTGCTATAGGTCAATGTGACGGTTGCCTCTGGCAACACATTGATTTCCTCTCAGACAGTCTACTTCCGCTGTGGCTCAAAAGGGCAACAAGCACTCTGTCTGTCTGAATCTGGGACATAATTATGTTTGCTCTGTCACATTGTGGGGATTTGACCTCCTTTAAGGGAGAAAAATACAAAAGGACAAATCTTAGTTTGAGGTCACAGGACATGAATGCTAGTTAATGCAATGTACTCTGAAGTGAGGAAAACATGGCTGTGTGTGTGTGATAGGAGCAGGTTTGTAAAACCAGACGCTCTCTCAGTGCGAGCCAACATCAGCTCCATGTGTCTGAGACACAATCAGACTGAACCCAGAATTGTTTTGGATTTTACACACATATAAAACTTGTAGATGTACAATTTATATTAAAAGGTACACACATGCATGTTCACACTAATAATTGCATTCATGATAAAAGTATGGCTAAAACTTTCCTTTCATTTTATTTTTCATTTTTAGTTGTTCTCACTTTGAAGTAGTTTAGTGTTGAGTAAGATTCAGTTTCAAATGAATTTTTGGACGTAGGAGGAGCCGAGATGCTTGTGTCTAACTGACCGGCCTGTATGTCCACTGTTAAAGCTGATTACTGTTTATTCCATGGTGATGATGATGATGTCACCCGTTTGACCGGCTGCCCTCTGGTCGGTGCCTCAGATCAATCAGGTCCCGCACATCCAGAGTCACAGTTTCTTCCCCTGGACCATTTGGACTGCTAACAAACACTATCCCCACGCCCCTGCCCACCCAACTCGCCAATCTGAGCCATGGCCTGAGTAACCCTCATCACTCAGGTCATTTACACACGGAGTCTATTCAGTTCTTTTTGCATTAGAAATATATTCTATATTTCTCTTGATTCTATATTTTTTTCACCTGTTTGCTATTTATTCCTGCTGTCTACTATTTATGTTGTGTCCTGACAATAAAGGGCTATTCTATTCTCTATGATCTCTTTGTTTACAGTCAGTGGTTCAGCGTGCTGAGTCAGGTCCACGGCTCCACAGAGCAGGAGATCAGAGAAATGCACGATGAGCAGGCCAATCCCCAGAATGCTGTGGTGAGTACTGTGAGGAAACAAAGCACTCTGGGAGATGGAGTTCTAATAACATTTCTGTTTAAAGAAAATTAATGTCTTCAAAATGCGGCCGTTTAATGTCGTCCTAACAGCAGAATGTTCGGCACTTTGCTTTAACAGATTTCCATAACACAAACCTTCGTCTCACACCGAGGAGAGGACGTTAGCCTTTAATATATGTTCCTCCATTTCCTTATTCATGCCTCACCTCTTAGTAGCACTTTTGCCTCCTTTAAATTCCAGCTGCAATAAATACATAGTTAATATATGCATGTATAGCTCTGGGTTTCCCCACAATGGGTAGCAATGGCCATTTAATAAATAATTAGAGATACTGTGCACTTTATGACAAGAGATGACATGGTAATAATCAGCTGCCTCTCCAGTCAGCTCTCAAGACAAACTGGTTAGAGTGGAAGTTCTCTGCAGATTTCCAGAGCAGAACAAGCTCCAAGTTGAGCTGCAGGCAAAGGCTGTGGAGTTGGAGTTTGTCTGCTGGTGTGACAAGAAGCTCACAGAAAAGCAGCTGAATTATACTGAGGATGGCACCTGGTGGAAAAACTGAAAATTAGAAAAAAAGCCCCAAAATCTGTCACTGAGCCTTTCATCCAGCATTCATGCTACCCTAACCCCAACCCTCTTTTGTTCTCCTCTTTAAATTTTACATTTTGTTGTAATGCTTTGTTTTGAAGTAACAGGACACAGATGTGCTGAAAATGCCATGTGCTTTTTCAGTGTTGCACCTGTGAGTGAAGGCCTTGCTGCTTGCGTGTGAGATAATTGGTTTCCATGGTGCAGCGAAGGTCAAGCTCATTATCCACACCCTGAAAACTGTTTGTGAACCTCCCTCCATCTCTCTGTGTGTCTCCTCAGGGAACGCTGGATGTGGGGATGATCGATTCAGTGTGTGCTTCAGATAATCCAGAGAGGTGAGGACCTACATCAAACATCACATCATATATATATGGATTTTCTTTGACAAAGACTAAAGCAAAGAAACCAGAAGGTGTCGGAAAAAAGCCATCAGAGTGAAGCCCGTTGGGTTTCAGCACCTCAGCAGCTGCATTTCTTCACATGGGGAACATTTTAGATCAGTACATTCTGGTCCTGTATTTCTTCTGTTGTGTTCTAACCTATATGTGACAAATATATCATTCCTGCTATTTTATGTCAGTAGCTTTAATTCTTCTTAGTCGTCTGGTTCAAAATTAAAAGTTTAGTTCATATCTCTTAATCCAAGAAGTGCACCCAAGAGCTATTACGGTGTTAGACTATTGATCTCCTTTTTGTCGTCTTATTAATTTCTGAACTGCGACAGGCCGAACTCCTTCGTCATGATCACTGCGAACCGAGTGCTGCACTGCAATGCTGACACGCCTGAGGAGATGCACCACTGGATCACTCTGCTGCAGCGCTCCAAAGGAGACACCCGAGTCGATGGACAGGAGTTCATCATCCGAGGTGACAAATGATTCGTTTATCGTGGCCGTTTTTCCTTTTTTAATTTGTGTTTACATTTTTTAACTACAGGTTAAAAGTTGCAGGTTAGGAAATCAGATTTTAAATAAAAGAAGTTTCCCCTGTCATATCTACAGCTCCAGTGGTGGGTGCTCATATCAATGTTATAATTCAAGTAATCAAATGTGTATATGTAGAAGCTGTAAGGCAAAAGCTTCAAACGCTCAGTTTTAAGCAGGTTTGATTTTCTCTGTTATTAAAGAAAACCGTAATAAAGCTCTTTCACAGACAATAAGCTTTCTGCATTTTTATAGTTTTGAAAAGTTCAGAGGAAACCAGAGAATACAAAAAGTTATTTAATAATTATTTCCCACCAGGCTGGCTGCACAAAGAGATGAAGAACAGCACCAAAGCTTCGCTGAAGCTGAAGAAGCGCTGGTTCCTGCTTACCCACAATTCCCTGGACTACTATAAGAGCTCAGAGCGTAATGCCCTCAAGCTGGGAACGCTGGTGCTGAACAGCCTCTGCTCAGTGGTTCAGCCAGATGAGAAGGTCTTCAAAGAGACTGGTAAGAGAAGAAAATGGCAGGAACTGCCAACTCATTCTCTACCCAGTAGCTTCAATTTCTCTCCGCCCCTCTTGTCGTGTCAGGATACTGGAACGTGATCGTGTACGGCCGTAAACACTCGTACCGTCTCTACTGCAAGCTGCTGACTGAAGCCACACGCTGGGCCAACTCCGTCCAAAATGTCATAGATACCAAAGCTCCCATCGACACACCCACCCAGCAGCTCATCCAGGACATCAAGGTAGGAAACTCTGAAAGTGCAAAAATGGATGTCAGTGGTCATTTTAATTCTTTCCTTCCAGTAAAGCCTCAGATAATCAGCACTGCACTAAACCCAAGCTCCTCTTCTCTTTGCAGGAGAACTGTCTGAACTTGGAGGTCGTTGAGCAGATCTACAAGAGGAACCCGATCCTTCGCTACAGTCATCACCCTCTGCATTCCCCGCTGCTGCCACTGCCCTACGGGGACATTCATCTCACCAGTGAGTACCACTGAGACAGAATAGGATTAAATTGGGATTGACAATCTAACTTAGTACTAATGTCTTTAACGTATCCAATTTTTACCCTTTTAGTTAAGATATTAATGTACCATATGTACTGATATAATCACAACTTCTTCCCTGCTCAGCTCCAAGAAGCAGAAGCTACACAACCCTGCAGGATGAAGCCCTCAAGGTGTTCAGCTCGCTGCAGCATTTGGAGGGCGTGGCTGACCCCGTGCCCATCATTCAGGGCATCCTGCAGACGGGCCAGGAGCTCAAACCACTGCGAGATGAGCTCTACTGCCAGCTCATCAAGCAGACCACACGGCCGCCACAGCCCGGCAGCCCTGGGAACCTGTGCAACTGGAAGATCCTCGCCTGCATGTCCTGCACATTTGTCCCGACAAGGAGCATCCTTAGATACCTCAAGTTCCACCTGAAGAGGTGTGCACTAGGCTGCCACATGTTTATAGATAAATTACTTTTATTCTCTCAAGCTGACCATTTCCAAATTGCTCTCTGCAGGACTCGCGAGCTGTTTCCCGGCTCTGAGATGGATCGTTATGCTGCCTTCGCCGCTGACTCATTGAGGAAGACTCGAGCCAGAGAGAACGTGCCGTCTCAGGAGGAGATCCGCTGCATCGTGGCCCGACAGGACATGAGCACCACCGTTCACTGCCACGGAGGAGGGTCCTGCAAGATAACCATCAACTCGCACACCACCGCAGGAGAGGTAGGTTTGTGGAAAACGGGGTTATGTGCCAAAGCATACAAATAAACCGTGTACTTTTTACTCAGCTCTAGTTTTTAGGATTTAAGCACAGTATAAAAGATATGTTTGTACCAACAGAACAACCCAACAGTAAATACAGAGCTGAAATGATTGTCAATCATCTCTTTTAATTGAAAATGAATTGACAGCTGTTTTAAAAATGACTTTGTATTGTAACAGCCTGAGCTTCTTATCTTCTTCTCTTCTGCTTTTTTCCTTACAATTTTCCTTATTTGTTATTCAATAATAATTAACAATAATTAATTAACAATTAATTAATTCATCAGTCACAGCAATAAAATCCTGCTTTCATTCAGCTCTTTTGGCCTGGAGCCTGTGTAAGCATCCAGGCTTAAATGCTCATACACTGACATGCTTGCTGGAATTTATTATTTTCTGATGCTGCAGAAAATATCAGAATCTGGATAATATGATGAGCTAAGACCCTGTTAAAAGGACATTTTAAATATTTTATAGTTATAGAAATTGTACTTTCCACCTTTATTGAATGGCAGTCCCAAATGTCTGGGATTTAGACAAGAATTCATGCTTTTTTTCTTTTATTTAATCTCATCTACAGTTTTAAAACCAGTTGCATGTGTCCCTGTTGTATCTCATCGTGTGTGTCAGGTGGTGGAGAAACTGATCCGCGGTCTGGCCATGGAGGACAGCAGGAATATGTTTGCCCTGTTTGAACACAACGACACCACAGAGAAAGCCATCGAGAGCCGCACTGTGGTGGCTGACGTGCTCGCCAAGTTTGAAAAGTAAGCTCCACCATGTTTGATTCTGAAGCAAATGTTTTTGTCTTCTGGCCAATGCTAACACAATCACTCTGTGGTCTGCAGGCTTTCAGCAAGCCCAGACGAAGGCAGCACTGGATGGAAGTTTTACTTCAAACTCTACTGCTTCTTAGACACGGACAACGTTCCCAAAGACAGCGTGGAGTTTGCTTTTATGTTCGAGCAGGTCAGACTCGTGGCTCATTGTCTGGGGATGGGACTAGGAGACTTTTGTAGCTGATTCTGACTGAACTTGGAAAGATTTTTTGTGGAAATTAAAAAAGAAAAAATGCTTAGATCTTACAGTTTTAACTATAATTTTCTCTGTGTTCCCTCAAAGGCCCATGAAGCTGTGATTCGTGGTCAATACCCGGCCCCTGAGGAGACTCTTCAGTTTCTGGCTGCTCTGAGACTTCAGTACCTTCTGGGTGATCACAACTCCCAGTCCACCATCCCTGAAATGTCCCAGGTGTTCCCCATGTCTCGACTGCGGGCCCGGGTGCAGAACTCTGCCAAGACATTCGCTCCGGGGACCGGCTCGGTGGCCGACCGCTCAGGCACGGCGGAGAGGAAACGCTCGAGTTTCCTGGAGGGGACACTGAGGCGGAGTTTCAGGAGCAGCTCGCTGAGTCGGCAGAAGCTTGAAGAAGAGAACAGCCTGGAGGCCTGGATGAGGGAGGAGGCGGCGGCCGTGAGAACCAGCGTGATGGACAAGTGGAAGAAGCTGCAGGGGATGAACCAGGAACAGGCAATGGTCAAATACATGGCGTTGGTGAAGGAGTGGCAGGGATACGGATCCACTTTGTTCAACGTCGAGGTGAGAAGAGAAATCACTTTTCTGTTTAAGCACAAACTTTGTTCTCCATGATAAAGGATGGTTATGTTCCCATAAAGACAGCTACACAGCCATAGGTGGAAACATGGGATTGTTTGGTTGGTTTAAAGTCATCTATTGCCAGTTCTAAACAAAACTGATCTTAGAGGGAATGATAGGAGATTTTGATGTTCCATGCTTGCTGTTTCAGTGCCGGGATGGCATGTTCCCCTCCGATCTCTGGTTGGGTGTGAGCCGGGAGGCCATATCAGTGTACAAGCGAGGGGAGCCGTGGCCTCTGGAGGTGTTCCCGTATGAACAGATACTCTCTTTCGGAGCTCCGTTATCCAACACCTACAAAATCACTGTGGAAGGCCGAGAGCTGGTGTTTGAAACCCAAATGGTGTGTACATCCTCACTCAGTCATAACTCCTGGTCTCCCCATAATTTCAATGCAGGTCATTAAATACAACACCAACATTTACTCCTCCTCCTCTCCTCTGCAGGTGATGGACATCGCCAAGCTGATGAAGGCCTACATCAGCATGATCGTCAAGAAGCGCTACAGCAACTGTCAGTCCGTCAGCAGCCACGGCAGCCACTGTAGCACCTGGTGAACTCCGCCCTTTCACCCTCTGCCTCGCAGCCACATGCAGGAGTGCAGCCAGGGGGCCGAGCGTGGCCGGTGCCGGCCATGCATGGACGCCCATCCTCTGCACTCTGGAGAGAGCAGCTCGTACATTTCATGTCAGACTGACTCTGAATGCTGGAGGAAAAAAAGTAAAAAAAAACAATATGCTCTTAATGTAAACTAGCTCAACTTATCTTGACCTGGTTTCTTTTAGAAACAGTACACATCCACTCCTTATTCATCACGATAAAATGTAGGCACAGGGCTGTGGGTAGTTCTGTAGCAAACATGGTGGAAAGTTATCCATAAAACTCAAGAAAACAGAATGAAGTCCAAAAGTTGACTGAGAAAGCAACATGAGAATGCTTCTTGTTATCTAAATCAACAGATATGTGATAACGAGCAGGGACCAAACTGCGGGCAGCTTCTAATTGGTTTCCCTCAAAGCCTGCCAGCTGTCAGTGTTATTTTATTTTTTTATTTAAGGTCCTTTAGGGCTTAAGATCAATTGCTCCTATAAATTCCACAAGTTAATTACTATTTTTCATAAAGTGATAAAATGCTTGAAGGACTATCATCCTTGTCACATTCACCTCTGTTCAGCCAACATAATATGAAGTTTTTGTTTTAAAGATGGAAGTTGTGTACAATCTTCACTTTCTTAAATAAGCTAACAAGTGCACATTTTTGCCCCACATTAAAGTAAGGCGGACTTCTAGCTAAGCTTCCTAAACTGACTAGAGAAAACAGAACAAAGGATCAGTTTAATCTGTTAATCCCAAGGCGTACAAAGTGTACCATGACAGACGTTCGCCCCCAGACTCTGATTACAAACCACAGTCTCTTAGACCAAAGAAAACTAGGTGGTGGTTAAACACAATCATATTTTTATATTAGTCTTCATGAAGTCAGATGCAGCTTCTAAAAGGTGGATGTGTCTTGTTTTGAAAAGAAACAGATAATTTTCTGTCTGATGGTAAACCTCTGAGGCCCTACAGGGACTGTTTTTGCAGAAGGGGTCGATTTCTCACGGAGGTTGGTAAGCGTGTGTGTGTGTGTGTGTGTGTGTGTGTGTGTGCGAGGAAGTATGTTATTAGAAAAAAAGAAGAGTGTCTACAGGCTGTCCGAATGTATAAAAAAATTAAAGGCAAAGAAGATGGAGGAAAAACAACTGCAGCCTACAAGCCTTTTCCTCTGCTTTGAGAAACTCTGGGACTTGACCTTTTCCTGTTCACTGTAAATAAGATGCAACTGTACCTTTACGTTTGTGACTGATTGTTTTGCTTACGATACAAAGTGCCTGTTCCAACTGAAGCAGGATGATATCTAATCAGATTTAGCCTTTATTGGTGCCACACTCGTTCCTGTGTAGCCTGAATCTGAAAGGTGCTCCCACACACATTTCCCTTTAACTGCCAATGTATTTGTGCACTGCAAACTCTGACCAGCAATGGACGTCATTCAAGGGTTTTTAAATCTGTCAGTTGTGAGAAATTAAATGGATTGAGGCGTAAATTGTTTATAATATTAAAGATACTGATGTGAGGCAGCAGCCTGGATCATTGACTAATTGAACGTTTGCAAATGTACCCGAGTACGTCAGTCTTACTGACAATGTTGTGTTGACAATATTGGACATATACATGCAGTTGTTTTTATCTTTTTCTCCAAACCTTTTTTCTTTCTTTCTTTTTTTGCTGTTGGGAAAGAAAAAAAGAAAACAGCTATGTATAATAAAATATTTGCAGATGTGATTTGATGTCAGACAATCTTTTACGTCTCTTTCTGATCCATGTTGACATCTGCTGGCAACAAATGTGAACTGCAACACCATCTTTCCCTTTAGAACAACCTGAACTTAAAATTTAATTGGTTTTTTGGGGGGTAGAAAAGAGGAAATATTGGAATACATTTTTTAAAAACGTGAAATAAGAAGATGTAGATATTTTTTCTGTCTGCTGCCTGTCTACAAAAAGCACTTACAAATTCAAAAAAGCTATTACATGATGTGTCTATTACATAATAGACATTATAAGAATTAATCGTTGTATTTCAGTGTAATCTGTCACGATTTAGCTTGAATGGCTTGTTCAGTTGGACTGTTTGCAGTGTAACATTCCTAAAAACGTTTCACTGGACCTCCGCGGGCGGCAGATCCATCCAAAGATGCGTGTGCAGGTTTCCTCCACAGTGCCTTGTTGTATATGATGTACACTTCTTTTTTTTTTTCATGTGTGGGTTCTTTTTTTGGTATATGTGCAATGTTATATATACTTTAATCATGTGGCTGTATATTTTTTATTGTAAGTCTTTGCCTTCTATATTTTTTCTCCTGAATCCTGATCAGATGGCAGTTTCCCGAGCTAACAAATCTTGTATTTTTCTCTAAACAACTATCTGACAGTGGATCTTTGACACAATGTTTTGTGGGGGGGGTTCCTCCTAGCTGTAATTAGTGTTATGTGCTGAACTGATGAATCTAACAATAAATCGTTACACTTTTGGTCTCAAGTGACCGTTTTGTTTTTCCTGAATATTAAAAAAAAAGGTTTAGTTTAAGAAAGTTAATGTGACAACCAATGGCTAAAGCTGCTGGACACACATCCAAGAACCTAAAAAAAGGCCACAAACAAATACACCTCACCAACAGCAGCTACTTTTTTTCCCTTTCTACTTATCATCACCATGTATACATCTCACATCCTCTAGTTGATCTCAAGGGTACTTAACTTCACTAACCAGTCAAGTCACTTCCTCTTACACTCAACTTCCACCACCTTGATTCCTAATCTTGGTTGGGGGTGATGACAACATCTCCCCCTCTGACCTGTGGTCCTGGCTCCCCCTTGCCGTATTATGTGTGTTGTACCTTGTCAATCTCTAGCTGTGAGAGCCAAATGTTGAATCGAACTTGCGGCTTCCACTCCAAAGGCGTGTAGTCTTACCACTACGCTATCCAGCTGCTAGCTCGCTATATATGTATGTATCTATATATCTATGTAGATAGAGAGATAAGATCAGTATTAAACACATACCTAACAAGAGCAATCTGGAACAGCGCTTTTGTTGCAGAAGTCAGTTAGTTGTGGTCATAGTTCTTCAGCATGTAGCTCACACTGCAGAAGCATAAATGGAGTAAAAAAAATTTAAGTGACAGGTAATTTAAAATGCAACATTTCTCACAGCTCAGTATCAGCTAACACTAAATGTTTGTGTAGTTTGTTACACACCTAATTTTGCTAACTGTGGTAAAGTTTACAGCAATGCACTAAGTTGGAGTGGGGCAGAGCAGCTGTGCTGTTCATGGTCAATGTTAAGTTATTGCTTTTTAGTTTTAGTTTGACTTCAAGTACATTTCTGAGCTTGTACTTTTTCACTTTTACTTGAGTAAAGACTGCTATTATTTCAACACCAGTATCTGTACTTAAGTGACGAATGTCTGATATTTCGCCACCTAGGTTTATTGATGTTACACTGTCTGATCAGTGTTCCCATGGATGTCACCAGCCCAGCTGTCATAAATAACATTTCTGTGACAATATGCAGTAGTGTTCTTTGGTCTAGATGAGCAAAAATGATACCTTTGATCACTGGGGGTTTGATTTCATCTCTTGTAACGATGCCACACACGTAGCATCCTGCAGCAGATACTCAAAACCAATATGACGTCGGGCAAATAACTCGCACAGCTTTGTATCTATAAATATTCTTTATACATTACATCCATGTTACAGTCAAAACAAATAGAAATACAGCCAACAGCAAAAGTCACATTCAAGTCATTTCTGTGCTGCGCATTGCAACGTCGACACCCAGCCTCCTAAGGCACCAAAAAAAGTAAATGACTCGTAGGTCAAGAACAGATTAGCCCATGGCCCAAACATCACAGGGCTCATGGAAGCTCAAAAGAATGGTTTACAGACAGGGAAAAACACAATTTCCAATAGCTATATTTATACTGGCACAAACCAGCTGAGGATCAGTCCTTTGAGGCAAACACTGCCATGCTGAACAGATGTCACTTTGCCAGCTTATACCAGCACTGGAAATGTTATGAATGACAATGAAATCTAAAAAAGGGGGATCGGGGGTCACGTTACGGCCCCATGTCATAATTTAAATTGTGTTTATGTACATTGGGTGTCTGCCCCTTCATCCCTGGGTCCAACCATTTCTGCTTACCCATTATGTTGAGTTCTATGTGGCACCTGGTGATTGGACGGGAGACTGATGGTAGCTCCTTTAAATTAGAGACCTATTAGGCTGACCTCTCTCCTCCTTCCTCCTAAGAATCGATAAGCATAGAAAGCCATTTCTATGGACATTATCTTGGACATTCCCTCCAGGAAGCATAGGTGTGGGAAGCATTTTTCTTTTTCTTTGGCCTCGTGCACACCCTGATATTGTCTACATTAATAGATAAATAAATCTCTTCTTTCTGGAGTGCAATTCTGCCGTGGCACTCTTCAGTCCTTTAGATTGGTGAAAATGCTTCTTTTCACTTTTTATGCTACACCCATGATTCTTTTAGGACTGAGAGTAACATCATGGGGGCTCATCCAGGATTTGGACCTCTTATACCCAAAGCAAGAATCACATCCTTAACCAGCATTAAATGTTTGCTGGATCATTTTTTTCAATATCATTTTGACATCAGGTTTTTGTGCTCATATGAAATGTGTCATAATTCCTGCATCCCTGTCTGTTAAATCCTTTTATCGGCATAAAACATAAAGCAGGACATCTGGTTGTATAGTTACAAAGCTCAGAGACCCTGCTTAAAATTAAAAGCTATACATCATTCCTAAGTACAGCTCTGAACCTAGAACACTTTTGTGGTAGCAGTCCTGCAATGATGCATTAACAATATAACACTTTTAAATAATTCGTAATTCGTAATAACAGTACATTGTAACACTGATTTTCAGCAGCTGACAGTGTGTCCAAAAATAGCCGACCCAAGAAGAAGAAAAAGAAATAAAGAGAGGGTGATGCCCATATGGCTCCCATATTGGAAGACTTGCTTCTCGAGAAAAGTTCATAAAATTCACTTTGTCTTCAGTCTGATCAACGCCTATTAGTTGATAATTTGGTCTATCTCAGCAATTTTTCCTCAAATTTTGAAGAAATTTGAGAAAACTGAGAAAAATGGAGGACAAAAGAATAAGTTGCAGAAAAAAATCTATATACAGCAGACGAACAGTATCTGAAAGCCAAAAACAGGGAGGAAAGGCTGAGGAATGAAAATTACACAAGAACTGGACTGGAGGTCAGTGGCATCAGTTCTTTTTGAGTTTTAAATGTAAAATGTTTGTTTCAAATCATCCAATATTTACAAGGGCGTCTATAGCCGTCTGGAAATCACGGTGGAGGCTCTGTCATAATTTGGGGCTGAATTTCAGCCGGTGTTCTTGGGGATGTTTTCTAAATGTATAGAAGTCTACCATCAGATTTTAATTCACCATGAATGCCATCCACAAAGCTTCTGATCGTTTTCAGACACACTGCCAACACTGTCAGTCATGGACTGACCTCCCCAGAGCCTTGACTTCAACATTATTGAAGCAACGTTGAATCATCAGAGTAAATGGAACAAAAAGACAGCCAACATCCAAAGAAGAACTTTGAATGGCTTTTCCAGAAGTCTGGAGAACTACTGCTGAATGCTCCTTAAAGAAATTACAAGAGGTAAGTAAGCTTGTCTAAGAAAGTTCTGGCTGTGTTGAAAAAGAAATGTCAAACCAATTATTGACTTTCAAGCTTGTTAGAATTGTAGAAAATATGTTTTGTTTTTGGGGTTTTTTGCCTTATATCCTGTATTTCCATCTATGTTTGCACTTATTTGAATAAAAGGCTACACTTATTTCACATTTTCCTAACAAAACCTAAAGAAATTAAGGGTGGTTTGAGACTATGACACCATACTGTCTCTATGCCACATTAGAGCAGAGATATATGAGAGCGAGAGAGAGAGAGGATATTGGCTGTGTACAGTATTCCTCAACCTTGAACAGGCAACCCTGTGATCCTACACCATGTCTGATGTTGTGCCTTAGATTTGTAATCTGGATGATCCCATCACTTCCTTCAATTCCACATGACATGAGTGCCACACAACAGTTTAAAAGGAAAACCACAAAAAAAAAGGATTTATGTGAGGGTGGCTCATGTCTCTGTCACAAAATAAACAGTGTTATATCTCAGAGTAACAACAAAGGCACCAACACAAAAATGTGAGTTACTGAAGGTATTAGATTGGTTTGAGGACCAGCCCCAGACAGCACACACAGTTCAAATAATTAAAAGTATTAAGTTACGGAAAAAAATCTGCAAAAAAACAACTTTGCAGCACATCTCAGACTGTAACTCCCAGATGTAACCCATCAGATGCTTCGTCTCTGCACAAATACTGCTTGGAGTTTATACCGATGTTACACGAATGACAACTTCTCCCGAATCACTGTCCTGGCTGAGGTTGTTTCGTGCTACCATTCTGTGGCAAAAGGGTGCCAAACACAGGCAAGTCCATGGATGTGATCCCAGCTGGGTCGGGTGTAAGGGGCCGCTGGGCCCAAAAGTGGCCAAAGGCAACCAAAGTGTCCTGGGGGCCAGCGAAGAGTGACCAGTGCTCGTCTCCTCCATGTCCTTGGTCTTGTCATAGCTTTGAACATCCCAGTGGAGGTTCACTGCTCGCCAGCGCAGAAACACGTTGTACACTGCTGCCCCCTCGTGGATGATCAAGCCTGTTATGACAACAATTGACACGTTTATAGGAATTTTGATTTTAGGCAGTTTGTCATGACCAACTTTCAGGAAATCTTTACTGTAAGGTTTTCTAAGTGCTTGAATTGAAGGCAACTCGATTTCTTTTTCAAGTTGTTGAAGACATTTCACCTCTCATCTGAAAGCTCTAGCAGCTGATGGGAAGTCCCACATATTCAAACTGTAGTGGTGTTGGTGCCTTGCTGACTGTCCTGAGTGCTGTCGATCTACCTGGTAATCATGTGAGCCATTATGGTCACGTGAGCCAAGGTGCGAATTCTTAAATGTCTTCACCAACTTAAAAAGTAGTCCAGTTGCCTTCAACTTGAGCACACAGAACTACCACGACCTGGATGACTGTTAACCTGCACAGACAGATATAAAATATTTTGCAAGTATTTTGTCTTTTTGTTTCCTCTTACATATTTCATCTTTCCTCACTTTAAAGTTGCCCGTCTCTCCTTCTCTTCCAACAACATCTATAAACTATGTGCTGAGAAAGCTGTTTTATTTTTTGTGTGTGGATCCAGAGTAACACCAAAGCCTTTGTTGATTTTAAAGGCCGAACGTGGCTTTTTATATGCATGTTAGAGGAAATCTGAAGGGAAATGCATTTTCTGTATGCTCCACTGACAAAAAAACCCAGTGGAGTGGTAGATGAGTGACAAATTTAGGGATACCCTGCCTCCCTAAATTGGAAAAATACATAAAAACCTTTTTAGTGTTTGTACTGTCTGCTCAGAAGGTGGTATTTTATGTTGTTGTTTTTTCTAGTGATTTATTGTGTAACCCAACCTAAGGTGGCTGTGACATTTCTTGACAACAGCGAGCGGTTGTCAAGAAATCAGTGTTGGAAAGGTTCAGTCTGCTAACATGGCTACAACAAAAGACTGAAGAGAAATACTCCCTTGGATATGCTCAGTACTATTATGAGATAGCATGAAACTGACTGTGGATGAATCAAAAACACAGGAGTGCATTATTTTCTTGGCACCATAAATTATAAAGAGGTCCAGCATTATTCTGAGAGATGAACTTTTAGAGTGCTAATCATAGAAACCTTTCATATTTGTGAAACTAATTTGTAGCACCGACTGCTAAAAAGATCATTTACAGTCATTTATGTCCTGCAAACAAGGGCGGAGCATCGACATTATCTCACCAGTCAAAACTGACACAAGTATGATGGCAAAAAACTGCATCGTATATAAACACATGATGACACAGTTTCAACGTACAACAGACCAAGAACGATCATTTAAACAACCCGTTCATGTGTCTGTGTTAGTTCTCTGTCATCCAGATCACCGTAGTCTTAAGGGCTTGAAAAAAGGAGACAACTGGACTGAACTGGTAACTGAAGAAGGCTCTTGGATGACTCCATTAAGCTACTGGGAAACTTCAGCAGCCTGCCTGATCTGAACCTAAACGGTCTTCTATTGTTGGACTTCTCTGCCAAGCACCGATTGTCCATGACACACACCACAGTGACCAATTTTATAATCATATTATCAGACCTGCGGGCATCTACGCTCATGTATACGTACTGACACTCATTCAGTACAGTGACTCATGGTCTCCGCAGCAAGACACTGTAATTTTGAATCTCTTAGCGATTAAATGGCTTTCATGTCTTCCTCTTCTCACAAGCCTAAATGTTTTATTTCTTTCATTTTGTTTTTGTTTATGAAATGCTAATATAAAATAATTATTGAATAAAAACTTTATTTGTACTAAAGAAGTCCAAGAAAGACAGACACCAAGTCCCTGCACAACTTTTCATTTTGTAATTACTTTTCAGTACATGAAAAATTATTAAAGTTTTGGTACCACGATGCAATAAATAAGCAAACTAGAGATCTGCAGTGTGCAAGCTGTTATTTTTCTTTTCCCACGTATTGGCTCATATTTCAGCACAGCACCTTTTCTGGTGTAGATGTGCATGTATCATATCCTATTTTGATATACCTTTATTAGTCCCACAAGGGGAAATTTCATATTATATCCTATTTTAGGAATTACTTTTCAACCAATTTAGATGTTGAGAAAAATATTATTTATAATCCTATTTGACAGAAAATCTTTAAGATGGCAAAGAAATATTTGCTAAAATACTGAACTGATCACTAAACTGTGGTTCCAAGGCTGTTCATACTTTAGTCGATAACCTCAAAGCACAATCCAGTATTTTTTTGCCCGAGATCATACACTGTCCGTGAAGTGTAAAGTGGATCTTGGAGTCTTAGGAAGGATTTATGGTCTGTCCAACGTGTATATTGGATGGTTGGATAACAAAAACCCAACAGCTCTGACTCATAGGGGGAATCATTTCTCAGACTTTCCACACTCACTTCACGTTGTGATCGTCCAGCTTTGCAGAGGTGAGAGGAGACCTGAGCACTGAGTACTGACTGTACTTTCTAGCTCTGTTGCCCTCAGCCAACCACCCCCTCACTCTGTCCTCAGAACAGCTAAACATGTTTAAGAGCATATCTAAGGACTGAGTTTATAAAGACACTGATTTTAAGCACTGAAATTTAGGCCTATGTTTAGGAATTTTTGTTATACAAGTACATTTGAGATCAAATGCTCTGCTTGAAACTAGAATTGTTGCCTTGTGGTGTCATGCTTTTGTCAAAAAGTCAGATACATCCACATCTGAGTTTCAGGGAATTTCCTAAAAGTTACACATTGCCATGACAGAGAGTCAGCCACATCAACAAAGCACAGGTGTTTGGTGTGCAGCCGCATGCCCATTCTCACCTACACAGACCAGGTCCATGAAGCCATACATGCCGTAGCAGATCTGGAAGAGGACATCGCGACGCTGCCAGGTGGCCTGAGGGCTGAGCGCCGACCAGAGCAGCCAGGAGATGCTGGCTACAAGGAAGAGAGAGCCCAGGAACACCGCAATGATCTGCACCTTCTCCACCAGGGTAATGGTGATGGACTGCCACTGCACAAAGAACAGAGGCAATACATTACATACACACTTTGACTTTAAATAAAGACTTTGTTTATATTTTAGCAAGAGTTAAGATAAAGTAAGATCTTTATTTATCCTGTGGGAAATTCTTTTGTCATGACAACCTAATCAAAACAGTATTTTTGCTCCATGTCGGATCAATCTGCAGCACCACAAAATTCGGATGCCCGACCTGTGTTAATCAAATACATAAATAAAGGAGGGCCTTTCCACAGTATCATGTCAGTGTGACAAGGCAGTCCAAGTCCCATTTTTATGATTAAAAACAATGTTGGACTTATTAATGTATTATTGAATATATAATTATATCCATCCATCTGTTCATTCCATGCATCTGTCAATCAATCCGTCCATTTTCAGAAAGCAGCAGCCTAATCAGAGAAGCCCAGCCCTCCCTGTCCCACCTCTCGATGATATTAATCTCTTGGTCACTGCTCAAAGTTCAGTGTGAGGGTGGGACTGGAGCTCAACCAGTAAACTGTAGTGAAGCGAGTTCTTCTCACTCATCTGTCTACACTACAACAAACTAGTACAGTGTATATCTAAATAATATTAAACAATATAATAAGTTGTTAATTGTGCTAAAATAATTTTTAATTATTTTTTTTTTTTTTTTAGTTTGGGCAAAATGACTTGACTTGACCCTTAAATGTCTTACAGTGGTTTTGTCCACCTCTTACGGTTCCCTAAAAGACATTGTTTTCTATATCTACCATACAGCGAAGCATAAACAGTCTGGATGTAAGCAGAACACATCTGTTTTTTTGTCACCTCATTTAAATAATCCTGGTAACAGGTACTAGACATAATTGTGCCCACTATCTTGTCTGGGAGGAAGGTGATTTTTTCTTTTCCTTTTCTTTAAAAAATGGAAATAACACAGTGGTCTCACTGAAAGCTGAGTTTTCAAGGTATGTTATGGTGATGAGCACTCTGTAAAAAC